AAGGATCTGGTGGGAGGCAGAATGGCTATTGGCCTACCACTGTTTTACACCAACAAGGGGAGCTGGCAGACTGTGAGAAGGTCCCTGACTTGCAGTAGCACCTGGCACCTGCAGTGACATTCCAAATGGAGAAACAAGATGCTAGCTATAGCTTCATGTTTACTTGTCATCTCCCATGCAAAATGCTTTTGTGGTCTACACTCCTAACTGTGCAGAGATAGGAATTGTAGTTTCAGTGTGTCTAAGCTGACACAGCAGGGGGAAACCAGTTCATCTAACACCTTTAGGCTGTGAAACAAGAATATAAAGTCACTGATGGATAGGTGTGCTCCCACCTAAGGGGCACCATGTAAGGCTACATGGCACCCCTCCTGGGTGCAGGACACAACTACAACAAGGATTTTACCTAACAAATGCAAACACTGTACTCTGATCATTTGTACCCTCACATGAACCTGAAATTAAAAAAAAAAAATAAAGTCACTGATTTGATAGATGTTTTTAAAAGACCAGTCTTATAGCAAATGGAGTTCAACAGAGCAGGAGTGGAGAAGGAACCAGTTCAGAGTGGATTGTGTGGGACTGTGGTGACCTTGCTTAGAATGGGAGGAGTGGAGTTGGAGAGTCTGTTTTGATGGACTGAATGTGAGGAGTTTGAGTGAGTAAGGTTTCAGCTGGAGTGACTGGATGAATGACAGTACAATTAATATAGCTGGGAAGAACTAGGGGAGGAGAGTTTGGAGGAGGGTCATTCCACAGGCATGAATGTATCCAACTGTAAACAGAGACAATTCAACAAAAATTGGCTTAAATAAATTAGGAGTCAATTAGTCTTAAAGGATCAGAAGTTCCGGGGGGTGGTTATTCTGGTGCTGATAGAGTGGTTTAGGGATGTTACATGAAGTTTCAGGCTCATGTTCCCTGTCTTCCTTCCCCCTTCTTTCTTCCTCCCTCCCTCTCTCCCTGCCTTCCTTCCTTTTTTCACATTTAGGCTTTCAGAGCTTTTGCCTCATTGTTAAGATGCTCCATCTTTGTCCACGTTTTGAGCATGAAAAGGTGACAAAAAGCAAAAGACCAAACTGGCATGCCACTGAGATCACCCCTTTCAAAATGAGTTCCCCAAAGCCCCCCAAGTGACTTCTGCTGACATCTTTTCGGACAAAATGGTGTCACATGGCCACTGTAATGAGAAGGTTAGTAGGGAGTATGAGAAACGTGGATGGTATTTGGGTAAACCATATGTGGGATATATATTTTTGATTGGAGGGACCACGTGAAAATGTCAAGCAGTCAGTCGGACATGAGCTTTACCTTGGGAGTGTCATATCTTTCGCCTACCTGGCTCTCTGAGGTGAACTGAAATATAAAATGGCACGTCCTATAGTGTGCTGATGTCTCACCCTGCAGAGCAAGTTCCTGTGTGTGTGTGGGCGTGTATGGAGAGTGGGGTTTGAACATGCCCCAGTGTAACAGCTAAGTCTGCAGCCTGGGTTGACGTACAGAATGAGTGGATTGTTGAGATGTGGCCAGATTGCACATGCAGAGGACAGTGTCCTGCTACAAGACTCATGAGAGCCATTGCCTGTCACTCTGCCGCTTAGATTGGGCTGTCAGAAAGGATAACAAGAATCATACTCATTTTGCAGATCAGAAATAAACTGTGATCTCCAGGCTAAATCCATGCGAATTTTACAAATAACGTGTTACCGGAGCACAGGTGTATTGGTGGTCTAGGGCTGTTTTCATGCTAAACTGCAGAGTTAAATAGTAGCAACAGAGCCCATCTGTCTAAAATACAATATTTATATGTGTTAATACTATTTTCCCTTTACAGAAAAAGTATTTGTTGATCCCTTTGTAGATCACATTTCTGTTTATGTTAACATCAGATTATTTAACTAATTACATTGACGGAGACATCCTATGACCTGTAAGGGATTGTAGACAGTTGAGTCTAATATTACTCACTAGGTCTCTCATTGGTTCCTCTTAGTCTTCTTCCTTTGGAGAGCTCCCCTTTACTGCTACTTGTCCTACCGTGGTATTTGTGGGATTTGAAGGCTCAGAAGATGGTAACACAGGCTTGCTTCTCCTAGCTCTGCTACATGCCCTGAAGGAGAGCTTCACCACCCAGCCTACTGTCCAGAGGGTCCCATTTGACTGACTTCATTGCCTTCTTCTGCCCAACCACAGGGGTACCTACGGGATGTTTCAAGAAAATTTTGTTAAGTGCTTGGTTATGTGTACTACGGAATATTATTCAGCCACTGAAAATGATGGAGACTTTACATCTTTTGTATTAACCTGGATGGAGGTGGAACACATTATTCTTAGTAAAGCATCATAAGAATGGAGAAACAAGAATCCTATGTACTCAATTCTGATATGAGGACAATTAAGGTCCTAGTACATGGTGGAGGGAGGGGGATGGGGAGAGCAGAGAGAGGGAAGGAGGGAGGGGGTGGGGTGTGGTACACCTTTTGGGGGTGGGACACAATTACAAGAGGGTCCCTATCTAACAAAAGCAATCAATGCAATCTGGATCTCTGTAGCCTCAATGAATCTCCAACACAACAATTAAAAAAAAGTGCTTGGTTAAAGTCAAGATTCTAGCAAGAGGCTCGGTGCCTGTGGCTCAAGTGGCTAAGGCACCAGCCACATACACCTAAGGTGGAGGGTTC